TCTATTTTATAAGAATCGGGTTACCTCAATATATGTATATATATTCGTTAATTAATTCTTGAGAACTAAATGATGTGCTTAAGCTATACCAGAATTTCGTTATATTCTTGGTTTCATTCATATATTCACATTGTTTGTCTAAATTTTAATGGATTTGATTATGTCTTCTAGCTATACAAAATTCAATATTAACTATGATAGTTAAATTTTATTAAACAATTTAACTTAAACCATTACACAATTAACATGAAGGTAAACAACGATTATATAATAAGTAGTGAAAAAATAACAACTATAATCTATTCTAAGCGAACTTCTTCAAGTGTTCACTTCACAGCAGTTCTTTTTGTTGTTGTTGTTTTGTTTATAAAGTAAACGCTATTAGATAGTTGTATAAACAACATCAGATATTATAGCATACAGTGAAATGAACTACATTTCGGAATATTCAATGTTAACGTAATCATTAATAATAAGTTACTGTTGTCAGATAGAAATCTAAATGGAAATGTAATAACGTTAGTGCTGAAAAAAAAACTATAACCCCTATATTAAAATGTTTATATAATATAGGTGAGTGATGCACCTTTACTTTATTGAAAAAAGAAAAGTGATATTGTGTCTTTATCTTAATCAAAATCATATTATAGTTATAATCTAGTATTTTACATTTGAAAGGTAACACTTACGTTACTTTTTTTCTACTATTTTAGTCCAAAAAGAAAAGACTTTTGAATTTGACTATAACAATGATCACAAGGTTAATAAATAATGAACAGAAGTAGATTTAAAATGTTATCAAAGTGGTTAGATTTGTGTGGTGTTTGAATGAACTAATGATACCTTTGTACTTGTGGAATGCTAGATTTCGAATTCCAAATACAATACATTCGTTTGTGCTTGTGTCTTACTTCTTAATTCAATTAAGTTATTTATGGGATTCTTAGTTCATACTACAATTCAAATAATTCAAATATTATAATTTGACAAGTGTATTTAATTAAACTGAAATAACAGTGTAATCAATTATGAAGAATATGATATAAAAAAAAATCATTCATGCTAGAATTGGCATAATAGCATCGGCACATTTTTATTCAACTGTGGATCAAAATGTAACATCTTAATAATAATACAACTGTTTATATATATATGCTAAACATCTACTTTCTAAGGAAATCAGTTTTTCTCAGTGAGCTTTTTTCTGAAAACTATTTGACTAGAGTCCAGTCACTGAGTATCATTCATATATATATATTATCAACAAGATCTTGCTAAGGGCTATAAGTGATGTCTTCCGTTTATTATTATTTCCTGAATGATGAAGCCTACACTGAAATGTCGATGAAATATGTATTCTCAATAATTATAAAGATAATAATAGTAATTCAGGATTTCACTTACTTAAAGAAGAAATTGTTTAAGTGAAAATATTCAGTTTGCTTTTTATACTTGTCAATCATTACATAATAACTAATTCATATTGTCTTATTAGTTCCTTATACATTTTATTATAAATAATTCTTAGTTAACCCTTTTATAACTTGGTGATGAACTCTTTCTTTTCTCTTTTTTTGTTATTGTTTTAGAGGAAATTAATAAATAAGGAGAGCAAATGTATGGTAAAGCAATTTAATACAATAACATATTCATTTCACCTAATATAATACAGTCAACCATGTATATATATGTAGCATTATGCTTATTATATATGATGACTTTTTTTCGGGCTTAAGTTAGCATTTCCTTTACAAACATAATATATTAAACATACGTTTGACAATTATATATTATGATAATTAATTTTTATCAGAAGGGGTTTGTGGAGATTTTAGAAATTTCACAGATTGAAATTATGAGTCAATTAAAACTAGACCACAATGGAAAACCTGGTCTATTTGGTTAAGCGCTTGGCGCGAGACTGATAGGTCGTGGGTTCGAATCTCGCGGGGTGAGGATCGTGGATGCGCACTGCCGAGGAGTCCCGTACTAGGACGAAACGGCCGTCTAGTGCTTCCAGGTTTTATATGGTGGTCTAGCTTTAATTAACTAATGATTTCAATCAATTAATTTTTAATGTAATTGAATGAGTGCATTTGATTATTAGTAATTAACTTTATATTGTTCACTGTTCAGTGAATTCATTGTAACCAAAAAACTCTGACGTTTCTTGAATAGATGAGGTATTATTCGGAGTGTCCCATATTGGGACGAAACGGCCATGAAGTGTTTCTAAGTTTCCCATGATAGTCTAGCTTCAACTGACTCATGAATTCAACTATTAAAATTACTATAACAGCCACAAAACCCTCTTCTGGTATGACTTGTGCCCAGAAGATTAAGATGGTTTGCAAATATTTATTTTTTAGATCTTTTTTATATTTTCTTTATGCCTACAGGGATATTAATACCCTTCCACTTAATAAAGAATATACGAATTATCACAAACATCAAAATGATTACGTTATCTGTGAGTCTTATCAAAACTCATTACAAAATATGTGGTAATAAACATTTGAAACCTAACATCAATTTATTCAAGAAGGAACAAGGTTTCAGAAGGAAATAATACTAGATTCAATATGGTGGTCAAACGTTTACTATCCAGGTGAAGCAGTCTCATTGACTTAACAACTTCGTAACAATGTATTTATTTAGTTATATAGAGGTCGTTACAATTAAACATTTTCAATTATAAATAACCATCCTAAAATAATTTGAATAGTTCAACTATGTTTGTGACTTAAATAAGTCTTTTGTACGTCAGTCATCTGATGTAATGCTCCCTATATCCACAAGTTTAAAGAATAGTTGTGTTCCTAGTTTCACTGAAACTGATGTCCTAAGATGTCTCCAGTTACTGAATTCATCCCAATGTTTAGGACCTGATAGTATCCCAAACCTCTTCTATAAAAAAACATGCTGACGCTCTATGTTATCCATTCACGAGTATCTTTAACAGATCCTTCTCAAGTAATCTCATACCGGAAATGTGGAGACAGATAAAGATAATCCCTATACCTAAGAAAGTATCTGGTGATAAAAATGTGAAATTTAGACCCATAGCAGTAACTTCACCTTTCCTTAAAACAATGGAAAAATTATTGATACTTCCACTTCAACCTGCGATATAAGAGCACATTGATCCGTATCAGTTTGCTTACACATGCAAAAGAAGCACCTTAGTTGACATTGCTGTTCTGCATCACAATACAGTGTTCGGCTTCTGTCTTTGATTTTATCTCAAGACAAAATTTACCCAACAAGGTAATCAGCGGCAACACTGACAGCTAGATAACCAATTGACTATGTTCCTACCTCTCTGGAAGGGAACAGTACTCTGCGTTTGGAGGAAAGTGTTCAACGCCCCTACTGTCTCATGAAGGTATGCCATGAGGAGCTTTTCTTTCACCTCTTCTCTTTTTTTCTGTATGATCTTCCATCCTCCACAGAAAATACTTTTGTGAAATATGTGGATGATCTCACTGTATATATGCATATTACCTATTATTTTTTACTGTATTGACGAGAGTGTTGAAGGCAGTTGGCAAGGTGTGTGGTGAATCGTTTGAGGTCATTAATAAAATGGTTATGGGTAAACACCCAAACTCCTGCAAACTTCTGATAAGTGTTATCTTCTCAGATCCCAATTATTCCCTTCATTCATATCTTTCTTTTTGTGTATCTTTTGGCAGAACGAGACGTCAATACCTTAAAATCCATGCGCTCAAGCAACGGTATAAAAGTTCCGTAATATCTTACCTAGCAAATATACTTTGTGACGAATGGGTTGTTAGAGTTTATCTAGTCAATAACCTGAATTCTTAAACATGTCTCTAGCTTGAAAAGTTGTACAGATTCTGATAAATTTTTTCATCTTTTCCTTTTTTGTTGTTTTTTGTTTTTGTAAAAGAAACTTGCGGAAATACCTCGTGCTGAGAATTCTATATTGTACCAAAATATAATATTGAATAAAGCCATTAATAATAATAACAATATGCTTTAGCAATAACAACTAATCTATCATGAAATTTAAGTATTTCACATTATCCTTATTTTTTATTTATTTAATTGTTTTACATCAATTCGCTTGATTATTCATTAAACTATCTCTAATATTAGCACTATTATTTAATGATCTCATCTACTTAACTTGCTGTATCAGATTAGATTTTTCATATATGAATAAGAATGATTTTTGAATGCTGATTTCCAATTAACTTCAGTGGTTCGATTTAAGTCTGCCGGTATTATTATTTTTTTCTACAGATAACTGTATTCTCTAAAATTCAATTTGAGGTTAATAAACTGTTATATTCTGATGAGAATAATGATTGGCAACTGCTGGAATCTATTTCAGGACTAATACTGTGCGTATATTTTTATCGTATAATTGTTTAATAACTAAATGTATCATATTCATTTTCCTCTTATTATAAGCTTTATTTTGATCTATAGACTATTATTATACGATTTACCGTATTTGAGTTATGCTCAGTCTGATAATTACAGTCTCCCAGATTCACAACCAATTTTGACTGGATCTTGTACAAATGTTATTTTCTACTTTGTGATGCGATGTGGTCTGTTTGGTATGTATATAAACCCAGTATGTTTGAAATACATGATTCATATTTCAGAGGCTGAGATTGGTGTTCTGAACTTAACAGGCTGGGTAAGGCAGAAGCTGGGTCGATAAGTACTCTAGACTGCTCGTACAGGTTTTGTGCGTCATTAGTCCGGTCGACAAATTACTGTTCTATAATTGGCGGTATCATTACTTCATATATTAATAGGGTACAAGGCCACAACTTGTAACACAAACTAGATGTAGTCAGTAGTTCCTATAAAATATGATGTGAATCGACAACGGAATTAGTTTAAAATCTTGATAAACCTAATTCTCTTCATATGACTCACTAGAGTAAACTGCAGTATTTACCTCCAGAGGCTACAGTAGATCTTAGTTAAAGAAGCTTAAGTGGTAAAAACAAATTATGTTTGAAGTTATCTTATAATCAAAGTATTTATATATACCATGTTATAAAACTTGTCAAGCAAACACAGTATTTACCATTAAGAAGCAAAAAATGATAAGACGAATTACTGAAATCCGAAACAAAATAACGTTTTTTTTCTGAAAGGTTAATAAACATGTTTGCATCAATAAAAAAAGGGGAACAGAGTGGGAAATGCAGTTATTATATTTACAAATATCAAATAATTTATGGGAATTCATTAATGGGAAGAGAAAAATAGATTTTAAAAATTCCATTGTTTTTTCATAATGTTCTAATGTATCATAGTTTCTAAGAGAAAAAAGAAAGAGGACAGGCTTAAAGAACACTTAATAACTTAAGGAAAATAACTTAGATTCAGATATAATTATGTCTGTATAACTGTACACTTTCAATGAACAAAATAGGAGCTATCAGAAACAATTTGTACTTTTAATACAATGTAGTTACAATATAAACACAATGCATAATATCTGCTATTAGACAATATATAAGTGTATAGAACCACATATCTTAGTATTACTTCAATTATCTCTCTACTGATAGAATTCATTCGCAAACAAAATGGGCAACATAGTGAATTGATGAAAGATCAGTTAAAACCTGATTCACGGGAATTAAAACACTTCAGAACACTGTAAAACCATGATTAGACTTCTGTAGACGTTAACAATTCCAAGTCTGTTGTAATATGAAATTCAAGATTTTCATCCCAACTCGATAATGTGTCTTGATCGTTGTTCTTAACAATGGTCATTGTAGAATTGTAGTTATTAAACAATAAATCGGTATTTTTGTAAGGTGATGGGGATTGATGAATATTTTCTTGTTTTAATGAATGTTTTGTATTTCTAAACTGAGAATTATCATTGCTAATGTCATCATTATGAGATCCTGTTGAATAAATATTTGATATTTGATTGACCGTGGTGTTATTTATCGATGTTTGAGTTAGCTGACCATTCAGAGTCAAATGATCAGGTAATAAATTGAAATCGAAATCTTGTATAAGACGCTGTCCATCGTGACGCACTGATGATTGATTATCTTCATTATTAAAAGGTGAATACTAAACAAATAAGAAACACGAAAAAAATAATAGCACTTTTACAATCAATGATGAATAATTATATTAATACTGTACGTAATCGTAATCATAAAACAATTTTCACAATTAAAATCACAAACTGATTTTTTCTAGACCAACATTGAAAACATGGAAGCATGGGATGTCTCTTTCGTTATAATACGGAACTCAGCTATTCGCACCTACGACTGTACATCAGAACCGAGAAGCCGTGGTCTCGAGTGAGAACATTTAACTTCTAAACTAATGAACCAGCATCTAATGGTGCTGATGCCTAACTTCAATCAATCCAAGACCTTGTGCAACTTTAAACACATTGCCCATTATGGATAACTGTGTCACTGTTTGAACTCTATTGATAAAAGATTCTCACTAAAACCCCAAGAGTTATATCTTGAAATCAGTCACTGGCGACCACATGGTTGTTATAAGTGTAGGGAATTCGTATTATATTCGCTGAGACTAAAGGTCTTGAGTTCGATTGCCGCGTATGTGGTCATGTATGCGAACATCTAAGGCGTCTCATACTAGGACAAAACGATAGTCCAATACTTCTAAGTTTTCATTTCCGGTTTAACTAAGACCAGTTTGTGATTTCAATGTTACAATCCTCACAAATCTTCCGTACTCATAAGTTTCTTGTCTAAAGATCAAATCTCTTGCTTTACAACTTTTCAAATAGAAAAACAAATAATAATTTTAAAATGAATGATTGAATACATAAGTGTTTGTGAATGTAATCGACTAATACAATTTTAACAACATAGAATGACATATGAGGTGCTTAAAATGTTTTTTTTTATAGCTACAGTGTGGCCAATTTTTCAATACTTTTCATTTTACTGTGCATTTATATTTCAGTCCTTTAGTAAATTTTCAGAGTATAATGAGAAGATGGAGTTAGTCTGAAAAACAAAATGAATTTACCAATAATTCCACAAAGATATCAACATTTTATTAGTGACTATAAATCTGTTTATATATCAACACCTAGTACCTGAAAATGTATAACGAAAATAGCAAACTAAAAGCGAAAACAACCAGATAGCTAACAGGGAAAGTTAGTAGGATGAAAGAAATCGGAAAAACGCTAGAAGTACTATTTTAACCTGGTGTAAAACTAATACATTATTATGAGATGGTGGAGGATGTGTGTAGCTCAGGATTCAGTTGAGTATTATAAAGAGAAAACATAAAGAAAGTCAGAGAATTTTCAAAAAGCTGGTACTCCAAACAAGCACCGATTAATAAACACTCCGAAATCAGTCAAATCTATATGGAAATATAAAAAAATTTAGTAACTAAGAGGTCAGAATTCAGATCAAGAGGGAAACAAAGAGAAACAAACATACAGATGAACACTACTCAGCAATGAATAACAACCGACTAAATTACTTTTTTCAACAGAATAAGCTGTTAGTCAAATGTAAATATATTTTAACTGAACACCGATTTATGAACTACATACTGTTAATTCTGTTTAGAAAAATCATAAAAGCTTCACAATTAGACCGTTCAGTTCAGAGACAATAACAGCTTTATTTTGTAACTTTAGGATTACATACATATTTACTTTTGATAAATTTTTTAAAACAGTTTTCTAGCATGTTAATAAAAATGCTCTATAAATAGAAAATTAACCGGAATCGGACATTAACATCGTTGGATGTGGACTAAGTGGTCTGACGGTTAAATGTTCGCGCGCAAGACCGAAGGTCGTGGGTTTGAGTTCCACATGCAGGAGCACAAGTGCGTACTTCTGAGAAACCCCATACTAGGACGAAACGGCCGTCCAGTGCTTCCAGGTTCTCGGCAGTGGTCTAGCCTAGATCGGCTGGTGGTTTCAACTGGGAAATACTACAGTCTCTGCAAATCCCCATACAAATAAATGATTATCAAATAAATTTTGAAATCAAACTTTATTATTTTACCTCCATTGGCAATGAAATCAATTCCATACTTGTTTTAACTGTATTAAACCTATTATAATCAGTAGTCATTGAAGTTCTATTTAAAGATTTTCTCTGTAAACTATTATACTTCATATAATTTGAATTTTCTGGTTCATACGTCTCTATATGTGATTTCGACATTATATAATTATCTCCATTTGTAATCACTTGATAAAAATGATGATTACTACTGTGATTATTTGGGATGGTAGCCGTCAAGTTGAAAGATGCGTTACCATTACTTGATGGTGTATTATTGATGGAATTTATAAATTTTTGATAGACAGAACGATTTTGAGTCATTGAAAATTCCACATCATAAGATTTTTGATCAGGATGCGTTTGTTCATTCTGGTAATTTGTATTCTGTTGATATTGAACAGATGGTAAGGAATTAATAGTTTGGTCCAATGGTATTATTGACTCATCGAATTTGAATCTTCTATTGATATCTAATTGGCATAAATTGTTCTGATTTAGTATTGTAGACTCATTTTGTGAAGATGAGTAAAGATAAGGTGCTGATAATTGGTCAATGCATAGTTTGTTTGAATTGCATGGACTCGGTAAATTCTGGTTTATTAATATTTCATTGTTTATTGGTTGACTTAAGTCAGTAATCAATTGATTATTTCGAAATGAGTATGGTAATGAAAAATTGTAGGGTGAGTTAATTGTAATGTTCATTTCAGGACCTAAAATTAGGCAAACACATCAAACCAGAAAGTAAACTGTTTGCAATTAGTTCCCAAAATCAGTTTTTGTAAAGCACTAAAAACAGTGAACTGTGGGATACAGTGAACGCACTTCATTCCCCACTGTCCAAATGTTTCCATACCATGATTGTTTTACATACTAATCTATGCAATAAAGAATTTTACTCGCCACTGCCATTATTTGGCACCTCCATTAAAAAAAAAATTTAAAACGTATTTATCATTTGATCTGTTTGACCTTTAAACTTTATTTGACATTCTCTGTCCAACCTGTCAACTTCTATTTATTTTAAACAATTTTTCCTTCCTAATTTACGGTTGTCAGTAGTCTAAATCGTCTTATTAATTTGACACTATTCAGTGAAATGTTTAATTCTAACTCTTCTTGATAATTACTATCGATCATGGTTTTCGTATGTTTTACGTACTCTATTTCGTCATTGTCTGTTCATCTCGTTTAGTTTGTTTGTCAATTGATTAAGCTTGTGTATTTATAAATAAAATCTTTACAGTTATTGTTCACTTGTGAAATAAAAGACTTTACGGGTGTTACAGACAAAATTAAAAGCCCATAGTTATTTCATTTAATAGACAATTTAGACACTACATCTAACAGTATTCCAATATTCACTTCAGGCCAATTAGATAGTTTAAAAGTTATATTTTAGATATATAATAGATAATCTTCTATTCTGATGTATAGCAATTATTTATTTTAATGAAATCATTAAAACAATTTTAAAATTACCGTTACATTTATTTATATACGTTGTTTGAAACTTCCTATTGATGTTCAAGACTGCAATTGTTCAGTCATTTATTGGCATATGTGCATCCTGTTCGTATTGCCTTAAGTCACATGGATCAGAAGCAGAGTAAATGTAGTTGACGAGTCTCAAATGATATGAAACACACGCCCTGGATTCCACGACTAATCACCATCTATCTCTGCTTATAGTATCGTCAAATATGAGCTTTTCCAACTGCTACATAACAAACCTTGTTATAGTGTAGTCAATTTCTTCAAAAGCGTATGCTAACAACCGATATTTTTTATCCTCTATTCAAACATTTATTACAACTTGTATACAAGACATTTTGAATGGAATTTCTCTGTTTAATTACGCTTCAAACAGATTTATTATCCAGATGATTAGGAATATATGCTGATAATAAACATAATAGTAAACAATTATAAATGATCCATTCAAATTTACAACCGATTCGATCCTTTTTTTATTTTGGATAACTTTTTGTAACTCATTTAATTTTCTAATAGAGAAAGCTTACCAAGAATTATTAAACGGTGACCTTCGAAGTAATTGTCAATGGAGTAAATGAATACGATTCATGATAGTGAACTCTATTGCTTACCTAGTGTGTTAAAATACAATTGGAATATAATTTGTAATAATTTTAGGTATTTTATCCGACAATTTTCGACGGTCGAATAGCACCGTATAATAACATTAAACTAAATCATTATTTTTAGACTGGTTGGGGTTTGATCACCATATGAGTCAAATAAATCTGGAGTGAAATATATTGTGTACTACTATTGTAAAATAATATATAAGTAAATTAATCAGGTAAACTTACATAATGACTGATTTGAGTTGTTTATTAATCCTTGACTTGTTACACAATTATTGTAATTTTGAGTAAAGTCATCAAATCTTTCTACTTCACTTGTACTAACTGTTCTATTACTTGGAGCTTTACTACCAAGTGAACTGTCTGTTTGAGCAATAAGAATTTCTGGACTAGTATTGTATAGAACATCCCAATTATGATTATTTAGGACAAGATTAAAAGGATTTTGATTATTATGTAATGCATTATTAGAATTCTCAGTATAGTGTATCCCTGTTGTTAATTCAACTGTTTCAGGTGATCTAATGTTATGAAAGGTTGAATTAATCATATTTGGATATTCACATATCTCACCATTTTGTTGGATATTATTGTTCATTGTTTTTGTCAAATAGTTTGAATGATATATTTTGAATGTTAAACAACAATCATTCATAAAAGCATTAGATGAAGATACTTTGGAATCATATTTTTCAGTAACAAATGTTGATTTATTTAATTGTTGCCTTCTGTGTATATTCCACTTCAAAGTAATCAATAAAATGAAGATGATTGTTACAGCGCATAATCCTAACAGGATTATAAACCACCAATGATGATAAAATGGTGTTACAATTGTTTTTACTATATAAAATAAATAAGTAAATATTAAAATGTTTTTTAAAAGGGAAATCAGTAAGATAGAACTATAATAACAGTAAGAATATCACAGCACTTTATGTGAGGACTTATCGTGATCAATAGGAAAGGTCAGTGAGTAATCTGATAATATATTTACCACTATTATAAAAAATATTGGGAGATTTGTTCACTGCCGTAAGTTAATCGATAGTGATATACAGGTAAAAGAGGCATCTATTCTTATTAACCAAACCGTCCAGTAATCTACAGTTCAAGACGAAACCAGTGAATTAAAACGTGTGGGAGGTTATAAGTCAATAATTAGACGCTTACAAATAGAACACAAACGTTCCAGAATAATTTTATGTACCACTGCACTTACGAAGATGAAATGGTTCCTTCCTAAAAATGTGCTGACTTACATACACATGTTACCTACCATGAAAGAGCATGGGCCAACAACAACCATTCTCCATCCAACTCTGTCTTGAAAAATCACTTGCAGTTCTTTCCAGTTGCTATTCATTTTTTAATGTCTGCTTCCGACTCCCGGCGCAGTGTGTTATTTGACCTACCTTTTCCCGTTTCACTTCACAATTTCAAGTTAGCGCTTGCTTCGTGATGCAGTTTGATAAGTTCAGTAACGTATGTCCTACCCACTTCCAACATCTTTCCCTAATTTTCAATTCAACTGGAATTTCGTATGTTCTCCCTCACAATAGGTTGTTACTGATGCTTCCCGTTCAACGGACATTGAGTATTTTGAGTAGACAACTGTTTATAAATACTTTCAGCTTCACGATGATGGTTGTGGTAGTTCTCGAAGTTTCATTTCCATATTGTAGGACTATCTCGACGTTCGCATTGAAGATTCTGACTTTGAGCTTAGTCGACAGTTGTTTTGAGTTCCATATGTTTTCAACAGTAAGAATGCTGCCCTTGCTTTCACACACCATAGTGTCAAAGAAGGCTCCAAAATGTTGTCCTATCCACAGTGTCGAATGCTTTCTCTCAGTAAAGGACGTTGATGTATAGTGACAAGTTCCATTCAGTTGGATTCTCAACAACGATCCGTAGTGTTGCGATTTGCTCTGTGCATGACTGATTCTTACGGAATCCGGTCTGTTAGTATCGAAGTTGAGCGTCTACTGAATCTATGATTTAGTCCAGCAACACTCAGTTGAAAACCTCTTCTGGTACCGATATTAGTCTGGTTCATCTGTAGTTCTCACTTTTGTTCAGATCATTTTACCTTGGTATCGTGATGAGATGTTCTTCTTTCGAGTTTGTCACTGACCCCTGTTCTTCCTCCCAAATATTCCTGAATGGAATGTCGAGCATGTTTGCAGTCACTTTCATATCTGATGTCAGTGCTTCAGCTGGTATGTTGTCAGGTCGTGCTACCTTCCCATTCTTCATTTTTTTGATGACTATCCTGAATTCTTCGTTCGTTGGTGGAGTGACATCTGTAATATATATCTGTGTGTGCTGCTTCAATATCCGGGTGGTAACTCTAGAAGAGCTACAAGCGGAGTTTTCCCTAAAATGCACTGTTGTTTATTTGACTTGAGGTCTAGAATGAAATTGTGTATTCAAATATCTCAAATAATTAAAGTAGGAAATGTATTAATAGCCAAATTATAACTGTAGTTAATGTTTAGTTATTAAGATATAACTTCAAATAAAAACATATTTTAAACTCAAAGAAAAGATAACCAAATTCATCGGAAACTTCAGACAAGTTAAGAAAACTGTTATTTTAAACACCAAGCATCATTTAGGTAGAATTTTGTAAGCTATACCACCAAACTACATGAGAATCTGTATCACGTCCTAGCTCAGGATTTACTGAGAAATTGGAGAACCACCTACTTATTCATCCAGCTTTTATTTGATTACGTTTGTTAGTGACAGGGTTTTAAATATATTAATATCTCTAACGGATACTTTAAAGTCTATTTAGTTACTTTTTGACAGTCAGTCTGAGACGTTTTCTCATAAAATGATTTAAGGTATAAAACCATCCAGATCATGAACAAAATTCACCTTATATCTTTCTTTGAACATATGACTTATCATAACCACTTCAGAACTGCGCTAAATCTTAGTTTCATATTCAACTTCCCCATCTTCAGTTTTATTCACCATATTTTATGACATACCAATGAATTTTAAATATTTATACCATATCGCACACGGTCATATATAAACCAGTCAGCATAAAATATGTTAATTTTAATAAAGGTTAATTTGTCATCAGTTTTAATCACAAAGATTTCAGTCTTATTTAATTACTTTCAATATTATTCTGAGGCCGACGAGTTTCCAATCCTGGTGGTATGAATTAAAAAGCAACATGCTAAAGCTATAAAATTAAATATTCACAAAACAGTTGTGCATGGCCAACCCAATAATTTGTTCCTTGCAACTAATGGTCAATTTTTCGAGATGATTAGTTTCCTAAAACCAATTATCTCTACCAGTTGTTCCAGGAGAAGTATTTTTAATGATTTAAACAAACAGAAGTTGTCTATCGTCCATACACTGGCAGCTATATCCATTTTCTACTGATGAATATACTGTTGAAATATATATTCTCTTTAATTTACCAGAACAATATAACAATCAAATATACTTTGCTTACACTTTATAACACTCCAGTCTGACTCTTGACTAGGTAGACCTATTTGAAATTGATTAACTGGAGATACACGAAATTGAATAGCTACATGTGCTGTAGAATCTATCGGTACATTAGCATCAGTAAATGCAGCTGTAATCATTCGTATTGTCGCTTCATGATTGATTTCATTCATTGTTGTTTGTGATTTCACTTTTCTTTTCACTGCATTAAATGAATGCTTTAAATCCTTATTTAAATTGACTGAAAGTTTTGTTAAATCTTCAAAATCAAAAGTGTACAATCTCATTGAACTGTTTATCATAGTAAAAGAATACCATTTGTTCAAGTTCCCTGTAGGATAAAACATTATTATTATAATACCAGTTTAAAGTAATTTACTATCTGGTAAACTAGAAAATGATCATCACAAATATTTAAGTCTACTATTATCAAAGACGAATCTATTTTTAAACACATTTAAAACGTCATTTTATGTCAACCGTACTTGCGTAATAAACAAACTTTACTGAAGAAGAAGAAGAATAAGAAGTAGCTATAGGATCTCTCGTATTAAATAGATTCACATAACTTGAACATAACTGAATGTACTATTTAAAGTGTCTTGTGAATAACTTTGACTATAAAATATCTACACTTCATCACATGAATTTTAAACCAATGAATCATAAACGAAGGCAAAATGTTAAAAGAAATAACGTTGAATATTGCTGCTTCCAATGAAAATGCCATCTTCAGATTTTGTTGGTTCAAATCACAGGTTCACGATGCTGTGATAGATAACACACTCAGTCGCTTGCTATTTGTATAAATCTTTAGTTCACTCACGTCCAATAACACTCAAACTGGTGCATACTTATATCAAATAGTCAGAAAAAACGTAACTTAAAGATTGACCAAACATTAAATATGAACATTTTTTCATTGCTACAATTTTTCACTCACCTTACTACTTACATTAAACAGTTCCTATAAATCTGCAGTATTATATTTACCTTTTAATTCATTCTTAGTCTAGTAACTTGATGGGACAAGTAAATAATGGTTAAACATCCTGAATGGTCATGGCTATATGTGTGCGGGATCGTGGATTAGCACTGCTGAGAATTACCATATTAAAAAGAAACGACCGTTCAGTGCATCTAAGTTTTCAGTGGTTTAGCTTAGATAGTTTCGTGAATTCAACTGTGAAAAACAAGTATTAATCACCTGCTTTACTAACATTACTGAAATACCTATTTTCCAGATGTTCAGTTATTGAAAAGATTGATTGAGAAGATGAATGGATCATTCTTAAACCACCATTGGGAACCTAGAAGCACTGGATGACCATTTCGTCTTCGTATGGGGCTTATCAGCAGTGCGCATTCACGATCTCCTGGACGGGGTTCAAACTCAGGACCTTCGGTTGTCAACTTGAACGCTTAACCTCTAGACTATTGAGTCGAGATACAACGGTGTTAATGTCTGACCCATCTACGATATTACGCAACCATCTTCCATTGTCTTTGGTGGGTAACTGCCTCACACCCAACACGGATTAGCTCCACTGGTCGTGGCTTCCCATTAGAACTCCGAGAATTACCTCTCGAAGCTAGTCATGATTGAGTACATGATACTGGAAACAATTTTTCATATCTAATTTATGTTGAGTTACTAATAACGACTGTTAATCAAACTATGTACTGACGCTGTGAAGATTTATCAAATGTTTGTCTGTGAGCATTTATATTATCAATATTGTCATGAATAAAATGTACACTGAAGTGCTATTTTTCATACATGAGAAAACATATTCTCATGGTACTAAATAACCTACATGAATAACGTAATTCAATTAATATATGCGTAATCGAATTGATCCCAGACATGACTTCACTCCATAGAATTGTAATGACAGTTGATGCATAATTTATATTTGTTTCATTGTAATGAAACTGTAATGAATTCCTAGTCAAATTTTTAAATTTTTGATTCGTCGCATTTTTATTTATACTACTGATAAACACTACTGGACGACGTAATATTGGCGAATTGAATGAACAAAACTTTTCCAAGCTTGGGTCAATCTAAAATGAAATGTAAAACAGTAAATTAGTAGTAAATACTAACACGAATAATTATGACTCATTATGAAGTATGTTTCATGCAGAATATTCTTTTCAAGGATAAAAAATGTTTTCGATTCAGTCCTTGCAAAATTAGATAGTTCAATGACTCTGTACATACATAAAGTTATTTTTTTAAAACAATAATCAAATAGTCTCTCGTTTTGTTCTACTAAAATATTCATCATTACATTTCACACTGATCCATCTAATGTTTAAGGCATACATAACACTATCTTAAGGAGGAAAAATCGCGGGCTGTTAACGTACCGTGGTGTGTTAGATTGGGATTTCCATGAATCTTCACCTTTCTCTTATAATCATCATGAACCTATCTAACATCCAGATCCAAAAGTGTCTTTATGCTACATGATCAAGTGTAGAAATTTAAAATTAAAACGAAGGTTACTGACAATAATATTAGGATGTGTTAGTCTTGTACATGGAATATTTATTACGTAAACTTCCAAACTCTCATAAGTAATGAATAACGTTCGAGGAAACAAACTACAGAAGGACTAGAAAGTTAGGTTATTACCAATGCAACCAAGATGATGTAAAGGTGTATTTCAAGGTTCTCCGTTTGGCACTATTGAAAATGTCCTATGTTACATGAATTTATCTCCTTTTTAACAAACATTCTAAAATAAGAATTAATATAAAATGGACCGAATGTTCAAGTTCAAAAAGTCATTTATACTGCACACTTATACATCTTATTTAAATAGTTAATATTATAGCTGTAATTTACACTTTTGTTATTAAATCTGAATAGTCAGCTTTTAACAACTAATCGCTTCGTAAACATCAAAGACTACTTTAGCATCTTATATATATATATATACTTCAGCAGTGCTCACATACAATTCATCGCGAATCAAAGCCAATATATTCAGATCTCGAAGAAAGCTCATGACCTTCAGGCCATGACTTGATGACCATTGGTGTACATCCATAAACTTCATCAGTTTGCGATATTGCTCTATCATATTTCAATCGCCTCAATCTTTGATTATCTTGCATCGTACATGGTTGAAGTATTTTAATGAAAATTCAAGTTCCAACATATGATCATCTGATTGGGTACATTTCACTGAACATTGTTGACGTTGAACAAGTTATTTATTTACTAAATAAATTACATTTTTATAATTTTCATTTAAATAGATATTTTATGAACGACTTGAGAAGGTTGCTGTGCTCTGTTTGAAGGCTAATATCAATAGCATGTTATTGGTGTAACATAATCAAGAAATTATTTATGAAAATGTACTTTTATTTATCTATAATCATGATAGATCACTCACAACCGTCTTAAATCTAATGATTATAGTGACGATTTCATAAAGACACCATCAATATATTAACTGTATCATAAATAAACTTAGTACTTACTGTTTTGGGTAAAGTTTTAAAATCACATTTATGTTGAGATATAATTCCGGTTATTTGAGGTGAATTAAACCAACAATAACTTGTTGACGCATAAATACAAGTTGGTGTACTCCAACCATCATTTTGTTTTGATTGTGTTCGAGCATATACTTTAAATATGTATGAAGTATTTTCATGTAACTGATCTATGGTATATGTCGTTTCAAATGATTTTAGTATCACTGTGAATTGTTGCTCAATTTCTTTGCTATTCGTTGAATCTTTAAATAAAGTAAAATAATAGATTCGTTAAACTAATTCTTTAATTAGTGACCTTTTTGTTAAGTTACGAAAATGCATCTAATATTAAACATTATTACGTAATCATCATTGGATATGAACTGAAATTGATCAGTCTCAAAAACTAATCTACAAACCATATTTAAGAGGGAGTTAATTGTTCCTTATTTTTGCATGTGTTCTTTCCATTTACACTACAGGCGAAAACTAAACAAATGGTAAGTCACTACTGAATGAATGATGGTGGATTTAAATATACATAAAGTATGGAACTATAATATATAGGTAACTTCTAAATCAGATTTAACTTCTAATTACTTACTGTAAAGTGGAAGAAAATTTATTGGGAATAAACCTTTCATGATTTCAAGTACTTATATGTTTTCAGGATAACAGTATGTAAAGTTTACTGAAAATTTCAGTTTTCCATCTAATGTATCATATTAAATAACCCAAATGTTACTTTCTTAAGGCCTGTCATTTAGGTATTTTTGCATTGATATACATTTGTTTTATCAACTCACATTCTTAAGTGAAAATTGTTTTTACACAATATCATAATCAGCACTCTAATTGCCTAAACTAATGAGTTAAGTAAACTATTCATGGAAATAACTACCAAACCTCTCTAACACAAACTCAAAGATTCATAATAAAGATTTATGACTTAGGTTCATTTACGTCTATTATAACCCAACGTCTTTTCCTAATTTTCAATTCAACTGGAATTTCGTATGTTCTCCCTCACAATAGGTTGTTACTGATGTTTTCTGTTCAACGGACATTGAGTATCTTGAGTAGACAACTGTTTATAAATACTTTCAGCTTCATGATGATGGTTGTGGTAGTTCTCGATGTTCCATCTCCATACTGTAGGACTATCTCGACGTTCGTATTGAAGATTTTGACTTTGAGATTGACTGACAATTGTTTTGAGTTCCATATGTTTTTCAACAGTAGGAATGCTGCCCTTGCTTCCACAAACCTCGAATTCAAATCTGCATCAGATCCTCTTAGTTCATTGATGATGCTGACCAGGTACGTGAAAGATCCCATATGGTCCCGAGCTTCTCCATCGAGTGTGACCGTGTAGGTGTTCTCCATGTTGTATCTCAGGATCTTGGTTTTCCCTTGTGTATGTTGAGGCCTACAAATGCAGAAGCTGCTGCTACTCTAGTTGTCTTCATCTGCATCTGTTGGTCTGTAAGGAATAGAAAAGCCGGGTCATCCGCGAAGTCCAAACCGTCTAGTTGCATCCAAACTGTCTATTGTATTCCGTGCTTTCCCTCAGATCTAGAGGTCTTCATGGTCCAGCCAACTAACGCAAGAAATAGAAAGAGTGGGAGTGAGCAACCTTGTCTGACACCGGTCATCACTTGTGAGCTTCAGCTGGTATGTTGTCAGGTGTAGCTGTATTCCCACTCTTGATTTGTCTGATGGCCATCCTGATTTCGTCGATCATAGATGGAGTGAACTGATCTTTATCGTCGTCATTGCTATCATTGGTGGGTACATAACATTAGATAACATTCATTGTGATTTCCTCTCTGTTTTTTTTTTGAAAGATGATTTGATGATCCTGGATCCTTAAGATTCTCATCGTATAAGTGATTTACGTGCTTCTTTGGACAGCATTAGAGCAATTCCCTGAGTGTGTGAACCAGTTTCCTCTTCGTAGCTGGAGTACAAAAGCATCGCTCCCGTATCTAGCCTTTGCTGTTTAGCTTGTGTTCAATGCGTTTCGCTGATTCCGAGCACTGACAAGTTGTATCTCTACATCTCAGAAACTATTTAACTAATCCTTCTAGTCTTCCATATTGTATGAAAGTTCCGTGTCTCTGTAAAACGTTTTCCTCTGGTTGTTAGAAGGGGCATCAGCCTCATAAATTCCGAAGAATCTCGGCTTTCATCATGAGGTGTCATAATCATATATAAATTATAAGAACACCGCCATTACAGGGTTTGTGGAGAGGGATCTATGTTAGAATGCCATTGACTGAAGTCTGACTACTAGACTACTAGATCTTAGCTCAGTGGTCCAAAAGTTAAACATCTGTGAGCTAGACTAAAGGCCCTAAGTTTCTCTCCTGATGGCTGGGTTGGATATACATTACTGAGAAGCCTCACACCACTATGAATCAGCTGTTTCATGACCACTGGTTTTTAAAGATTGTCTAACTTGAGTCCAGAAAAACGTGAAAAAAACATTGTAGGTACTAAAAGTAATTTCCAAGAACAAATTATTATTGTAATGTTGATAGGTACCGCACTAAATCTGCAAAAATGGTGAAACATTGATTTTTAACGAGCTCAGATGAATCAGTAGGTACTGTTACAAACGAGAAAAAACGGTATAAATTATAAATCAGTTGAATCCATTCCAGCGGGTTCGTCGGTAATTAATAAATTTGTCTCGGGAATCTTTAATGAAAACAAAGGGACGTAAATTATTCACATCCCCTTCAAATTTCATGTTTCGCAAATAATTGTATAATCGATACAATACGTCAAAAGAAACTGAAAGTGTTATGTTTAGTAAAAATGAATTTATATTCAACTACTTACTTTTGTCAGTAAATTGATTATCTTTGGATGGAAAAGTAATTTCACTCCATGAGACACGATAATTTACAAGTTTTCCATTCAATTGCTCAGGTTGTGACCATTCAAGTTTAATTAGATTTCTTGATAACCATTGAGATGCTAATGAAAATGGAGGGTTCGGTGGTGATTGTGATGTACATAACAGTTCACCAGATAAACAATCATTTTCTATTGAATGATGTAATTTCACATTTGTATTACTTTGTGTCCCTTTATAGTTGGATTGTGGGGAATATGCTTTTGGTCCATGTCCACCCGTTGTTATAACGTGAATTGACATTTTATAATAAAAATATGGTTTAATAATTGTTTGACCTGATAGGATAACATTTGATTGAGTTATACTTGATGCAGAATATAATAAAATACCGTGTACATGTGGCTTAATGAAGATGGAATGAATTTTAATGGAATCATAGGAGATGTTATAATTTATGTCACCGTATTCATGTAGTTCTAACTATAATGCAAATATATTATAATGAAACAGAAAAATCATCAGTGTATGAATATACGTTTTACTACATGTAAGCTACTATTATGTTTCCATAACTTTGTAACCTACTAAACTAACGCTTCTTCAAAGATTATTAGTATTTTTTGCTGACTCGTAATTAATGACCAGTTTTTCCAAACACCCAAAAATATAACATATTACATAGGGTGAAGAGTGACTCAGATGAGTGAGTAGATAGATAAGAGAGTAAAAACCAAATATGATATTGGTTAGTTCTTAGTAGTTCAGCCATTTGAATATCTAAATGCACTATCAAACATATTTTACGTATAAATCTCATTTCGTTTAACCTTGTTTAGTGTGTGTAGTGAAAACTAAACACATTGTATTAGTTTATTTAGGTAATTTCGGGAACTGCTTTCTTCACTGATTCATTCATTTAAAAAATAAACTGAATGAAGCTGCGAACAGCCTAGCAGTAAATCAAAATATATTCTACTATTCAGTAGGCTTGATGTCTACGGGTTTAAACCCTAGTGCTTTAGTAAGGTCTTCAACGTGTCAAATTATTAACAAAAAGCAGTTGTATAGCAGACTATAACTTTCTGATTCAAAAGCTGGAGGTCGGTGAATTGTTATTAACTATAATTTTCAGTTGTGTTCAAGTACATGTGGTGTGGTAGTTTTCGTTTAAATAAATGACACATCCATATTTTGATGACCTTATATAAAATATTGACTTTTACACGTTAACTTATCACTTAGAGATAAAGACTCATTATTATCTAAAAATAAACAGGCTTAATCGGGGAGATTATAAGTGATGGACGACCTTTGCACGAATCTTCAACGACCTTTAGAGATAATGGTCAACCAGGAAAAAGGTAGTGTGGAGTAAAAATAGATTATGCAAAACCAAAGTTGATACATTTCTTTTACATGGTTCAAAATCTTGTCAAGGTTAGAAAGAGATTCAGAGGTTCTAAAACCGTAATGCATATGGTACAGGGACTCATTCATATGGCTCCATGACAGTCAGCCTCTGGAGCCATGATATGGTCGCAGAAACTCTTACAGGAACTTCTTAGTAGTCGTATTTATTGTAGCAACTCATTTATAATGTCCTCTCTAAAATCCGCTGTGAACCGATCGTATGTGAGCATCAGGTACCGAAATTAGATTCGTGATGATGATGATGATGATGATGAAGTTATTGAAAACAATTGTTTGCTCAAATATCCTACATTTTTGAATATTCTTTGGGGATTTTTAAACATATGAAATAGTTCAAAGAGAAAGGATGTATTTGGAAAATCTCAGCGAATGAATTTGAAGTAAATCCAATGTTTCACCTGGCAATCTGGTCCAAGCTTTTTCAAGGAAAATATAATCAAACATCAAAATTATCGAATATAAATAGGTACATGGTTCACCGGTCTCATGTATACTGAATAACTCATCAAATCAATAGTTAAAAAAAATTTTTTTTTTAAACAAAACACCGTAGCTTGACTTACAATAAATCCTAAAATACCTTGATATTCTTTATAATCCCATGTACATTTAATCAAAACTTGAATAGGATCAGAGAAACAGAAAAAATTAATTGGACTTAATACAAGTTTACTTAATAATACAGGATAATTGATCTTATTCATCTTATATATAACTAATGATTCAGTCATTTGTTTCATTGGATGATTATACTGTAATTGTATTTGATTACATCCAATTCCACTATTAATAAATATCAATGATGATAATTGTATCATTGAAGAGAATATATTAGTTGTACTATAATCATTTATAGCTTCAATAGAAAATAAATAATATTTATTTGGTATTAAATCTTTCAATTCTATATGGAAATATGAATTTTCAATTTTATTTTCATCATGTTTTATAAATAAATTGAATAATTGAGTATTTGTATTATTATCATTTGATAACCATAATCTATATGTGATATGATACCAACCAGGTTGACTATTCCATTGACGATAATTTAATCCCTATACAACATTCAAAAGGATAATAATAATAATTTAAACAAACTTTGACAAAATTAAACAAATAAAAAAATTAAATCGGAATGAAGATCTGTGGAGATTAAAGCATTTTCAAAGTTCAGTTCACGATTCAATCTAAGCTAGATCAACATTGAAAACCTGGAAGTAGTGAAAAGCTGTTTCGTCAGAGTGTGGGACTCATTAATAGTGCCCATTAACAATCCCACAGGCGGGGTTCGAACCAAAGACCTTTGGTCTTGCGAGCGGATGCTCTAGTTCTAGACCACTGAGTCGGTATGCAACGATGTTACTGTTTAACTTCAATCGGCCCATGATTTTGTGCAACCCTTCATCCATTGTCTGAAGTGGATAAGAGTCTCCATTCGACACGGATTGGACTCCACTGAACAAGGCTTATCATTAAAACTCCAGGGGATCCATATTGAAGGTAGTCACTAATCAGAACATGATTATTATTATTATTATTATTATCAGATTGGGGATTTGCAGAGACTAGTATTTTCATAGTTGAATTCACGAAGGGTTGCACAAGATCATTGATCGACTGAATTTGAACATTACCACCGTTGGACGCCGGATCAGTGGTTTAGGAGTTAAGCGTCGGCGAGCGAGGCCGGAGGTACTGAGATGGAGTCCCTTGTGCGAGATCGTGAATGAGCACTGCCGGAACGTTTCATACTAGGATGAAACGGCCATCTGGTGCTTCCAGACTTTTAACGATGGTCTGGCTTAAATTTTATTAATTATTAATTTCAATAATTTTTACTCTCTTAATTCAATTATTTTATCTTATTTTCAACTATGTTATTTTGTTCATTGAAAGGATTAGGTTATACTTTTTCCCGACTTTTCACAGATTACTTCAGTTTATATAATTTTCTCAGAATGGGTTTTGTGGAGATTTTTAGAAATTTCACAAGTTGAAATCATGAGCCAATTGAAGCTAGACCACCATGGAAAACCTGGAAGCACTGGACAGCCGTTTCGTCCTAGTATGGGACTCCTCAGCAGTGCGCATCCACGAACCCGCGAAGCCAGTAGGTCCTGGGTTCGAATCCCGCGGGGGGCGGGTTCGTGGATGCGCACTGCTGAGGAGTCCCATACTAGGACGAAACGGCTGTCCAGTGCTTCCAGGTTTTCCATGGTGGTCTAGCTTCAATTGGCTCATGATTTCAACTTGTGAAATATATAATTTTCTGTTGTAAATAATAGTACGTTTTATGATTTTGTATATAAGCATAACAAGATATTCTCCATGTACACATTATACATTTTGCACTAAGTACATTGACATGTTGGCATGCTGCTTTCAAAATTTATGATCAAAAATAATTGTAACAGAAAGCAAAAAAATTGGTTTGTACCATCGTTATTAGCGTGTAGTGGAAATAAAAGAAATCTTTCACATCATTCATAATCATATTCATAAAAAAGAAGAAAAATTCTTTCTGCATTAATCTATTTATACATCCAAACAATATTGTCATTGCAAAGTACTATGTAGCAGTTCATATTTGGCAATAATTACTTATAAGAAGATTATATTGTTCCAAAAATTGGTACTTTTATCATTATCTAGATATCACATAAGTGTAAGTATGAGATAACAATTGAATCCTTTATATATTGACATCCTTAAAATACATATTATTTATTGTTGTAGAGCTAATGTTTAACGAAATCTACAGAACCTGTTTAAACATTATTTACCACAGAGTTGATGAATAATGGGGAGATTGGCACTACTGTACATTCATAAAAACTCGTTTACAATGTTTATATAAACTCGATAAATTATTAAACATGTTTGTCAGTATAAGTTGTATGTGGATATTGTTAACTGTTATCGAAATCATGAACTGATCAAAGTTGAACAACCAATAAAACCCAAAAAGTACTGCACAGCTATTTCGACAGTATATGGTATTAGGAAGAATCATCAGTCCAATGTTTACTGGCTTTTATTGATTATTTAACTTAGATGACATTTCACGACCTCCAATTAATCTCTTTACTTGTAATTGCCATGTTTTTACTGATAACTTATTCGGAGAAATAAATCGCAGAGTTCTGGTTTGAGGTCATATTCCGGCTATCGAACAATCAAACAAACTATTCCATTTAAACATACTAGTCACTGAATACCACCTTTGTGGTCCAAATATAAACCTCTCATCCCGATATCTGAAGTTTCCACTTTATTCCCAGATGGATTCGTGGATGCGAACCGCTGTAGAATCCCCTATCAGGATAAGCAGTTTTCTATTAGTTCTTGATTATCAGTGGATATTGGACTGAGGTAGATTAAAGATCTCGATAACCATGTTTGCTTACAATAATACAAATAGTAGAAAATAATCAAAAGCAATACTCGACAGACTGTTGGCAAACAAATCAATGACGAAATTAGTCGACTTCTTAGCCTCATTGATATCTAAACGTTTACTTACTTTAAGCAATATATTTGATATTACACTACATCACATTTGATATTTTCGATCTGATCTCTCAGTTTCATTTACTATAGCAACAGTAAATTCAGTCGAATCATGTTCTGGTGTTAAAAATACACTACAATTTCATCTTTCCATACGAGTATCTTTATTTTTGTAAAAAAGGATAAATATAAAGAGCCAGAATGTCGAAAACAATAAAACTCACTTTCCACTTTAACAATAAATATTCACAATAACCCCTTGTTACAATATCTCTTTGTCTCCTTGCGGTATGACCAGAACTTTGGGATATTTCAGAGTGCAGATGAGATCTCAGTTCAAATTCTAATTTAATTGAATAATAGCAAGGTCTTTGTGGACTTGTTACCAAAATATCAGTTGATAGACTGAAAGGACTAATTCCAGCATCACTTTGAGCAGCTAGACGAAAAATGTACATTTTATAAGGTAGGAGCCTAAAAGCAAATACAGAAAATTAAATTTATTGTCGTCAAAAATTAAAATATTTAAGACAAAAACCAACAATCTAATTCGTCATTTTTTGTATTAGTTATTATCATCCATAGTAGTTTCTTCTTCTTTCAGTAGATCCTGTAACGCTTGGAACCTGTTGTTGAAATTTATCTTCAATTCGTTGGGTTTGTCAGTATCTCGAAGGAACTCCGTATTGAACCATTTTCGTTCCTTTCTTCCAATCAGTCCGTGTCGTCTCATGATATCTTGGCCATCCCGACTTTGGCGTCGAATTGTATGTCTTCATTTCCGACGCTATTTGATTGGTCCTCCCGGTCTCTCACGTTGTCTAAACGTTCCATGTTTCTGTTAAATTTGTTGCTCTGGTTGATAGAAGTTGCATCAACCTCGTGAATTCCGAAGAATCTCGGCTTTCATCATGAAACATCATGATTCTTCTGAATGAAGATCCTTCAATTAGGAGTACAGAGTTTAAATGGTTTGATTTGTGCAAGCTGGTTTGTTTTTTTCTTAGCAAGATTATTTTCTACGGGATGAGTCTGCCGACCCAATGCTTAACCCTCCTCACTTGTGTGGACGTGAGACTGGCAGTAACTCTAGAAAAACTGCAGGCAGAGCTTTCAGTTTTACCCATGAGAATTTAATTTATGAACTACTGTTTTAACGTATCAGTGATAAATTATGCTAGAATAAATTGTTCTGTACTAGTGACCTCCATATTTCATTTTATATATAGTTATTTTTGTCATAGAAACTGAATGCAACACTAAGACTGTTAGTCTTAATTAGGCACAAATAAAGAGTATTAGTCAATCGATTGACTATCACAGATGTCTATCAAAATTTTTAGTTTAACTTAAGTGAACATCATACTTACTAGCTTCATGTTTAACAGTGTAGTTAGAAAGTCCCATATTTATGAAGTGAATACATTTAAACACTCAAAATGCGTAAAGGGTAAAATGTCTAACTCCTAAGTTATTCATTCATTTCAATCTAATTGGTTATTGTGTTCAAGGTTTTGTGATGTCATATATGTGAAATCAGACATCTAATATGTGATAACATATAGTAACAGAAACCTGAAATGGACATTCATTTAGGAAATAATCTAAAATATTTCTTCAAACATAGTGTAGGGTTAACAGATAAAAAACATAGAAGTCCTATAAGTAGAAAGATAATATAGTCAATGATATGGTACTTTAGTGAAGGCGAACAGGTGATGACAACCGAATTATATTTAGCACAACATTACAGAGTTACTTGGTAAAATAGTAAAACCATACTATAATACCTAATTTGCAAAATGTTCATTAACTATATGAGAGAATATATAAAGTTCTTATGGGAGCTAGGCTGATTGTGAAAATGTACAGTTGAATATGAAGAGTTGCTAATTATTGTTTAAAACCGTTTTGAGCATCTGTTTTCAAATATTAAACAGTTAAATTTTACTAAACCAGAACGTTGTTGTACCACTGCAGATTTTGTTCTGACAATTCTTTACTGCCATCAAACATATGGTATTAAAGAAAATTTACAGTTGGGAAACAGAAGCAAAATAGAATAGAACGAATTTACGCCTGCATAAAGTAGTTTAATTCTAAGATTTGAACTAAGTTTTTGAGACAGATTTTCAATAGAATATTTTCACGTGAACAAAGCAATAGAATGATATCTTATTTCATGAATAAATCCTACAGCAAAAGATATCAACTTACCCATCTACTAAAAAATCATTCACTTCATCAATCTGTGGTGCTGGTTGATACGTCTTCCAGTTAATAGAACCATAATTATTTGGATTCTTACCATAAATATCTTCACTGAAACTATTATTCATTACTTCTGCATAATGTAAAGTATAATTTATGACTGGAGATGTATACAGAAATCCGGAACTATATTCAGTTGTTTGATTTGATTGTAACTGACGTAAATAATTAGGCCAAGATAAATGAGCTGTGGCGATAGGACAAATTGTATATCTATTCCGTTCTTGTGTGATACTACTCTGTGATATTTGTATTTTGGGAGTTACTGGACGTTGTCGTGGTCTTGTTTGAAAACTTTCAACGGTTGTTACATAAACCTAGAGTAGAAATTCAAGGATTACTTAGTTATTGTTATATCATCACAAAATGATCATAAGTTTGAGCAAAGCGAATTCAAATACAAATATTTACGCTATCATTCAACATTCCTTGTATAATTATTGCTTAACTAAATGTTTTTAGACCCGAAAGAATGAATATTGTACGATGAATTTAGTTTATTTCATCTTGTTTATTCTAAATTTTACATCTACACAGAAGCTCTTTTTAAACATAACATTTAACTTTTAAAAATTCATGCCTTCCAACTCTCAGTACAACAATTTAGTTTACGCCAACCGATTCAAATCCTGATAATCGTTCATCAACGTATGTTGCACAACTTCTGACTGAAGATAATTTACTGTTTTCACAAGAATATGAAATTCTTAGGAAATCCTAATTCTTAAGTAAATAAATTTAAAAATCTTCATGTTGACATGATTGTTCATAATCATTGTAGAGTTCTACAATTAGGTAATTGTACTTCTCCGTTTGGATTAGAATATTCCAAAGCAAATTAGGTGATTATAAACAATTCCTTATATTATTGCTCGGGCAGGTCAACTTGGTAAATTAATCAATAAACATTTACAGGGGAAAAAAATCGTGATATAAAAAATTATACCAATAAATTAATTTCGCAGATGAAACATAAGTATACCCTTCTAATTATTCATCTAATTTAAAACAAGAAATAATTTAGTGTATTATAATTTTCCATAATTTTTCCTCAGGCTATGAAATTACATAAATTTTGTGTTAAATACAACAGAATATTGGGGACTACTTGTCAAAGTCATTATTAGTGTAGTCGGAGTTATAAATTGAATAGATTGAATTTCACTTACGTAAGAATGAAATGGGTCATTGAATAAGTTAAAGGGTTATGTAAGAATAAAATGATATCTTAGGGTGATGAGATCTAATCAATAGATTGAAATTTTAGATGAGAAATATGATATGAGGAATTTTTGAGAAATAAGTAAGGAGGGGGTTTGTGGAGTTTCACAGACTGAAGTCGTGAGTCAATTAAAGCTAGACCATCATGGAAAACCTGGAAGCACTGGACGGCCGTTTCGTCCTATTATGGGACTCCTCAGAAGTGCGCATCCACGATCGTGCACCCCTCAAGACGCGAAACCAGAACCTATCAGTCTCACGTCAAACGCCTAACCAACTAGACCACTGAGCCGTCATCCAATGGTGTTAATGTCTAATTTCAACCAATCCACGAAGACTTTTGTGAGATATCAGCTCACTGAAGACGGTGGCGCGACTTCGTGGATTGGTTGAAATTAGACATTA